CTACGGTGCTAATCCAGCACCTACAAGCCCAACCGGAACATTATCAAGCTCAACAACCCCACCAGCATACACCGCTAATCCACCACCAGGAGGCTCAACACTCACCTCCGGCGCAACATTTACCCCGGGTGGCAAGTAATCGCGGAGATTGAAGTCCTTCCACGGCCCACGTCTGAGATCATGAGAACTCGACTTGATGCCACTCCACCATTGCTTCCTAGACAACAGGGGCTTTCAACTCTATGGGTCGTAGTGAACCCGTGTAATTGGAGCTGCTTACTCGCTCTTGCTGTGCTTGGTGATCCAGGATTGGAGAGGGAATGTCTGGGGAACTAACCTGGACACCGGGATGGGAAAGGGATGGAAAAGATGTAATTCTAGTATTTCCCAGCGTTTCTCTAGGTTGTGGATTCATTGATAACTTCTGGCGAGGGAAGTGTCTTTGGATCCATTAAAACGACCATAGCATCTAATAACGATTTGAACAAAATCAATGGTATCATTTTTATAGAACATGGAGTTGCTCTTACCAGAACATTATCCGCGACTCCAACCCAATGCCTTTGAACGCCAACGCCTTGATATACACTTCTAAACTCTTCCCTATCATCCCATCCTTTATAACAAATCAAAATCATCCAACTTCTCCCTATACCTAAGAATATTCCTCTTAATCTTACTCCCATCCACCCACGTCACGAAATCCTCCATACTCCGCGTCACCAAAAACGCCGTATCAGTAATTGTCTCCGTGCCCACCCTCACATGTCCCTGCTCTATGATCTTCGTCGCAGCCTGCACCGTCTCAGCCATCCGTAACCGCGTCATTACAACTGGTAATCTGCGTCGACAGAACGCAGATACCGTCACGTTCTTTTCTACTTCGGAAAGTTTGGCATTGGTGGCGATGGAGGGGAGAATGCCGATGTCGTTGAGCTTTTCGAGGAGGAGCGTTTCTTGTTTGAGGCGGAAGGCGGAGTCGGGGGGGAGGGCGGCGAGTCGGTGAGCTAGTTGTTTGAGGGACTGGATGGATTGTTAGTTTTTGTAGTATAGAGAAAGGAATTTCAAAGAGCGTACGCCACACAGCCGATTATACTTCTGGTAGTCCCCAGGCTTTTGGATCGCATATCGCCTTATAACAGCTGCATCTCTGTGATTATTGTCGCCTTTGTAGGTGGTAAAGTCGACCTTCCGAAGAAGTTTCGATTCATGATGCTTTAACTTGCGAACCATTGTGACGATCTGGTTATACTGAAATTCTTAATGGTTGGTGGTGGGGTTGATGTTCGAGCTCGAAATTATTTTGGATGCGACGGAACCGGAAGAATGTTTTAGCGGGATTGTGGTTTTGGGGATTCGACATCGCGACCCAGGAGAGGTAGACATCAAATACATACGACATGCCTCCACCGCGGTTACAATGTCTCAATGGGATGAGATCAAGCTTAGGGAAGGCTTCGAACCTCGGGGCTGCTTTCTCGACGTCCAGTAATGTCCGGGCAGGTCAGTTTATTCATATGTGTAAATGAATGTAACATTGACAAGCAATTAGAAGGACCTCGACAACCAAACCCCTCCAGCTCGACATTACCAAATTCTAATAATGACACACGTTTTCCAACCTTCGCCAGAACCGCGCCACCGAATGCTGTGAATCTGCCCACAGGGTCTCGATCCAATGTGGATTACGGTGATGGCGGAGAAAAAACACTGCGCATTGCAAAACTCCTCAACAAACAGATCTTAAGAAAGGAACGCAATGATAGGGATACCAGAAACCAAAAGACAGATCCGACCAGTGCCCTGTCTGCGAAAGAGGAGATGCAGCTCAATGAGAATTCTTTGGCGTTGAGTAAACAGATTACGAGACGCTATGCTGCGGGTGATGTCTACGCGCCCCATGATCTGCATTGGGTGGAGATGCAGAAGTGGAAGGCAAGGTCGAGACCGAAGTATGATGCTTTTGATGCGCTGGATATGAAGCCTTTGGATCATTATAGGGTAGGTCTTGAATTCCGCAAACCTGGTAGTGGAATTGGAGGACTGGGCTAACGGGATTAGAACTTCTCTATGGTGTCTGAGTACATGACTCCTATGGGAAGGATTAAGCATTCTAAGGAGACGGGATTGCGTCCGGTTAACCAACGTCGGATTGCGAGGACGATTCGGAGGACGATTGGGATGGGTCTGATGCCCAGTGTGCATAAACATCCGGAGATCTTGATGAAGGCGCATTCAAAGGCGCAATTTTACAGACCTAATGGTGTTAGGTAATTGATGTACTTGTACAATGGTGGAAGAGAGATTTGGTAGATTGTAAACTTTGGCGAAATGATACGAATATGTCTGATTAGAGCAGAGTCTTTTGGTAAGAAGAATATTTCATCCTCAAAAGGACTAAAGTTTGTACTCTTACATATTTTTTTGTGAGCTGATCATGGAGTCTGCAATGTATACTTGGAAACTATCGTCCGATATTGAAACATGTTAACATGTTGATTGGAAACCCCAGCTATGTTCAGCTCCAAACCTATACTTGAAGAGACAACTTGACTTATCCACTCTTTCTTTTCCAAAACAATCTTGTGACTACAGTACTTATCCTCATAGCTACTCGACGACTGCCTTAGTTCCATACAAAAACCTTTATGCCCAAGACTACCATAACTACCCAGGTGGTGAACCGCCGCCTCGCTTAGTCATTCTCAGCCTCGTGCCGTTCCAATGACTTTTTGTTCCTGAATATCTTTCGCCATATTTTGTCAACTTCTATCCGACTACCAACTAAATAATGTCTGGAAGACGTGACTTTCTCAGCCAGCCTGCGCCAGAAAACTATGTAGCTGGTCTAGGTCGTGGTGCAACTGGATTCACAACGCGATCGGATCTTGGACCAGCGCGAGAAGGGCCCAGCGAGGATCAAATAAAAGAAGCACTCGCAAAAAGAGCTGCGCAACTTGGAGCTGCACCACCTACTGCATACGGTGCGCCCGAGAAGAAAGAAGAAGACGATGATGATCCACGATTTCAGGATCCGGAAAATGAGGTCGGCTTATTCGCTGGAGGCGCATACGACAAAGATGATGATGAGGCGGATAGGATATACCAGGAGGTAGATGAGAAGATGGACAGGCGGCGGAAAGTTAGAAGGTTGGTCCTCCATTTACCTATGCCCTTTCTTGTACCTGTTATGTACATATGGTTTATCATTTTTGCAAATAGATGAGCAGATTACCGACGTTTCTACCTACAGGGAAGCACGAGAACAAGCAGAACGAGAAGAATACGAGCGAAATAATCCAAAGATTCAACAACAGTTTGCGGATTTAAAACGAGCGTTAGGCACGGTTAGCGACGAGGATTGGGCAAATTTACCAGAAGTTGGAGATTTGACGGGGAAGAATCGAAGAAGCAAGCAGGCGTTAAGACAGAGGTTTTATGCTGTACCTGATAGTGTTATTGCTGGTGCGCGCGATTCTTCGGAGCTGGGCACTTCAATCGCAGATGATGGAAACTCTGGTAGTGGAGATAATCCTGATGGAGCCATGACGAATTTCGCCGATATTGGAGCAGCCCGAGACAAGGTGTTGAAGGTCAGATTGGATCAAGCATCTCAGGGTTCTGGTATAGACTCTGTTGCTGGTAGTGCAACAAATATCGACCCCAAAGGATACCTCACCAGTTTAGCGAAATCGCAAATCAATGAGGGAGAAGCTCAAGTCGGTGATATCAAGCGAGTCCGGGTTCTGCTGGAGTCTGTTATCAGAACAAATCCCAAACATGCGCCTGGTTGGATTGCAGCTGCGAGACTTGAGGAGTTGGCTGGAAAGACTGTAGCTGCGAGAAATGTCATTGCACGTGGATGTGAATTCTGTCCGAAAAGCGAGGATGTATGGCTGGAGAACATTCGACTAAATGACAACCACAATGCGAAGATTATCGCCTCTAACGCAATTCAAAAGAATGATCGCTCGGTGCGCTTATGGGTGGAAGCTATGAAACTTGAATCCGAATCACGAGCTAAAAAGTCGGTCTTACGAAAAGCTTTAGATCACATCCCTCAGTCTGTCATGTTATGGAAAGAAGCTGTCAATCTTGAGGAAGATCCTGCTGATGCTCGACTTCTCCTCGCAAAGGCAACCGAAATTATCCCACTATCCGTCGAGCTCTGGTTAGCATTGGCGCGTCTAGAGACATCCGACAACGCAAAGAAGGTTCTCAACAAGGCTCGTAAAGCTATCCCAACTTCTCATGAAATCTGGATTGCAGCGGCGCGACTTCAAGAACAGATAGGCAATGCTGGTAAAGTCAATGTAATGAAGCATGCTGTTCAGGCCCTTGCTGAGAAATCTGCTATGTTGAAGCGAGAAGAATGGATTACGGAAGCGGAGAAATGCGAGGATGAAGGTGCCATCTTGACTTGTGGAAATATCATCCGGGAAACTCTTGGTTGGAGTTTAGATGAGGACGATGATCGTAAAGAGATTTGGATGGAAGACGCCAAATCAAGCATTAACCGTGGCAAGTATGAGACCGCTCGAGCTATGTATGCATACGCTTTAAGAGTCTTTGTCAACAGCAGAAAGTTATGGCTGGCTGCTGCGGATCTCGAGAAAAATCATGGGACGAAGGAAGCTCTTTGGCAACTTCTCGAAAAGGCAGTAGAAGCATGTCCTCAGAGTGAGGTTCTGTGGATGATGCTTGCAAAAGAGAAATGGCAAGCCGGAGAGATTGATAACGCACGAAGAGTCCTTGGAAGAGCCTTCAACCAAAACCCAAACAACGAAGACATCTGGCTTGCAGCCGTCAAACTCGAAGCCGAAAACAACGAACCAGAACAGGCCCGTGAACTCCTCAAAACCGCCCGACAAGAAGCCCCTACTGACCGCGTCTGGATGAAGAGCGTAGCCTACGAACGTCAACTCGGCAACCCAGAAGCAGCCCTCGACCTCGTAAATCAAGCCCTACAACTCTTCCCCGCCGCCCCCAAACTCTGGATGATGAAAGGTCAAATCTACGACGCCGACGGCAAAACCCCTCAAGCCCGCGAAGCCTACAGCACCGGCACGAAAGCCTGTCCCCGCTCCGTTCCCCTCTGGCTTCTCTACTCCCGTCTCGAAGAACGGCTTGGCGCCCTCGTCAAGGCCCGCAGTGTCCTCGACCGCGCCCGTCTCGCCGTCCCCAAGTCCCCGCAACTCTGGACAGAATCCGTGCGTATCGAGCGGCGCGCTAATAACATCACCCAAGCTAAAGTCCTTATGGCGAAAGCCCTACAAGAGGTCCCTAATTCCGGCCTGTTGTACTCCGAGAGTATATGGTATCTGGAGGCGCGCACGCAGCGGAAACCGCGCGCCTTGGAGGCGATTAAGAAGGTTGATAATGATCCGATATTGTTCGTGACGATTGCGAGGATTTTCTGGGGCGAACGACGGCTGGAGAAGGCGCAGAATTGGTTTGAGAAGGCGGTGGTGCTGGATAGTGATTTGGGGGATACGTGGGCTTGGTATTTTAAGTTTTTGATGCAGCATGGGACGGATGTGAGTTTCAATTTCTTCTTCTTTCTTCTATTTTATTGCTTTCAATGGTGTGATGGGTTATGTCCTATCGTTGTCTCTTATAAGCTCGGCTGAGAGATGGTTCTGGGGCATATGCTGATTCTAATACTAGGAGAAACGAGCAGATGTCATTGCCAAATGTATACTCAGTGAACCGCGACATGGGGAGTTCTGGCAGGCTATAGCTAAGGATCCGAAGAATGCAAAAATGGGCACGGAGGAGGTTCTTAAAGCTGTGGTTGCCAGGTTGGAGTAGTTTTTACTAGGAAACGGAGGGGTGTGTATAATATCGAATGAATTTTATGGCTTGGAGAATTTCCAATGTATAATCCGACTTGGGTTCTCTCGTAAAGATATAAAGTGGAAATTTGTAAGATAACCTTCTGGTTTACGCTAAGAAATTTAAGAAGTCTAGGACCACTGTGGACAGACAAAACTGCTGACTAAAGGAAGCACCAGAAGCACCCGGCTAAGCCATTTCAACAGACACCCACCTAGTGTTTGCAATCTTCCATCAATTTCCCGTTGCTGGTCCCGAATGGTGACAATAGCCACTCACACACGTGTAATCAGCGTTACAAGGACTGGAGGCACTGCAGGTCCATCCGTCACAGCCCCATGTGCAATTCTTACAGTATCCGCCAACACAAGAATATGCGGATTGACATGGCGAACTAGAGCTGCAATCCCAACCTTCACATCTGCATTCGCCAGTCAGCAGTTTCTCAGGCAAAACACATGTTTTCAGGATGGAATAGAAACAAACTTACCCCCATTTACACGTATCAACAGGGAACGTGCTACCTCCACCCCCTCCCCCTCCTCCACCTCCTCCGCCGGTACACCCCTTCCCAGCATTCTGCAACAACAGCTTCTTCGTCGTCGCCAAATTTGCCGCACTCCCCATCACGATCCTAAAATCCTGCTCCTTATCAAACTCAAACCACGACGTCGCGATGTAATTCGGATACTTACACATATCCTGGCCAACCAGCTGACTCAACCAGCTCGTCGCGCCTCCAGAGCCGCCATACCCGGTCTCGCCGATCGCAAAGGGCAGGTTCTTGGCCTTCGAATACGTGTTGTAGAAGGAGGCGTAGCAGTCGGAGAATGCGGTTGAGGAGAGCGGGCTTTGCGGGTAGCAGTCTATGCCCACGATGTCGACGTAGGCGTCGCCGGGCCAGAATTGGGCGGCGGTTGAGACGGGGATGTTGGGGGACCAGTACATTTTTATCTTAGGATTGGATGATACCGCGTCGTGGATGCGTTTCCAGGCTGTGATGAACTCGGCGGGGGTGCCGGTGTAAGTTCCGTCGGTCTGGATGGTTAGCCATCCTGTTTCGGAGAGTTTGAGAGATGATACATACGACATACCAATTCATCTCATGACCGAACCTCAGCCAAACCTCCACGCCCTGACTAGTAAATTTCTGCAGCACGCTGGCGACTTGAGAGGCTACACTAGTAGTCACCTGACTGAACGGAATGATAGGCATGATAGCAGGCTGGAACACAGCACCAGAAGCCACGACATCGTTCAAGACGTTGAGAAGTTGGCTGCCGCTGTAAGTGGAAGATGTGATCTGGGAGTAATAGCCGTAGGTACTGGCTTTGGCGCCGAGAGTTGAGTCGATGGTAGACATGGTGTAGTGAGGACTTTTTGCGGAGCCATCGGATGGGAGGAATCCGAATGCGACGCCGTTTGCTACTACGCCATTTGAGGGGAGACCGTTGGCTGGTATATATTAGCTGGATATCCTCGAGACGAACGGGATAATAGTGATCCTACCTCTCTTCTTGATCTCGGAGCTTTGTGGTGTGATCATCGCGGAGATGGAAGTGACCATCGTCACCGCGACGGAAAGGGAGACGAGCATTTTCATTGTCGGTGATGCGGAAAGAAGTCAAGATCCAGGAGAATGATTCTTTGGAATTGCTCTACAATCTGGGAAATCTCATCCTACTTATACTCACTTCCTCAACTTACTCCCTGCTCAAAAGACATCTCACTCCCAATCATGACCCCGAGCGGGGAAAGGGTGATCTGCAACGTTATATCAAGGCATTCTCAAAGAATTGCAGACTGGCTTTAGATCAACATACTACATGTGGGGTGGATGTAACCACGTATTTCCAGCCTTGTCGTGGGGTTACACTGTCAGTCTAATGCGGAAATCAACCTGCCTAAGAGCCTCATTCTTTTAACGATCTCCTCGTTCCTGGGCATACGTCCACCGCAGCAACCGGTTACTTAGACGAGCCACTGATATCATACCATCGTTCTTAGGAGGCCGAGATTGGCAATACACGGCACCTAATGTTCTGCGTTATTTGAACACGGATTCGGTAGGTGCTTGTTCGTGTGCGTTCTAATGGCACGGGACCTCGTACAACGTACAGTAGTAGCGGAACGGCTCGGAAAAGCTTGACACGAAAGATGCAGACTCGTTTCAATGAGCTGGATAGAGGTTAGTTAATAGCTTGATAGAGGTTAGTACCTACGGCTTATTCGAGGGTACAGTAGTCAGTTACTTTACCGTAGTGGCTGTACGTAAAAAAGCTTGACACGACGGATGCATACTCGAGAGTTGCCGCTGCATGGGCGGCTGACGTGCATTTATACCATACCTAACTAGGGGCATTTATAGGGGCCGAATACGACGGGTATTTAAGCGAGAAAGGGGGGGGGGGGTCGTATCTACAAAGTACGGATGTAGAGGCCTGTGATAGTAAACCGTACAGCAAACAAAGAAAGCAAACGTTATCCTAGTTTAAGGCTCACTCTCTCATAGCCGAAAAAAAAAATGGCAACGGTGGTGCAGTAATCCTCCATAGCTACAGGAATTGCCAGATAGAAACCACATAAATAAGTACCCACGACAAACCTAGTAAGTAAGTTGGCATGGACATCAACCCCCTAGCATCACAATTCCACGATTACGCACATTCAAGAATCTTAGCACCACCGCCTGATATCTATTTCTCGACAACCAACGTATGAGAGAGTCGCCGCTATGAGCTTGAGAAAAGTGGAAGTTTTGTCCTCCATCCGGCCTTTCATATATCGATACTGATTCTTCACTGAAGTAAAGCTCTTCACTGAAGTGTGTCAGCGTATGCATTGTTTGGTCGGGTAAGGAAGGGTGAAAGCGCTGATAGGAACAAGACCTATGTGTGTAGGGCGTGAGGAATATGAAGTCAGGCATGGAATGGAAAGCTGTACCCTGGTATATTGCGGCGCCTACTAACTCCCGGTGTATAACAAGGCAGAATGTTTGGCGGATCTGATAGATCTGGTGTTGAGTGAGTTGCTAAGTGCTCAGATGCCCGACTGCCCACCGGACACGGACATGATGCATTCATAGTTCAAAAGCCAAAATCAGTTTCGATATTTGTTTCTGGCCATGTCGAAGAATCTTGAATTCCATCCGCGCTGTTTACACAGATCCGCAGCTGACAAGTGACAACACCGATTAACCCCACTGCTCCCCATATATTCCGACGTCTTCCTTTAACATCTCTTTCACAGTATTACAATCTCATCTCAAATCCGCCAATTACATCCACAAATCCCTCCATCAAGGAATAAACGCCTGCGCCGAAAGAATCCAACTCACAAACTGCACAAACGAAAAATACGCACCCGCCGACGCCGCCACATCCTATTCACATCAGCACACCTCAAACCCCCCTACCAAAGCGAGGTTTTCAAACTCACCGACCACCCCATCCCGGCCCTCGTCCTCACAATCGTGCGATCAAAATTCGGAACCTGCACGAACAAGCTCAAATGACACGGATACTGATACGTCGACGCGGAACTAACATCGCAGACCAGATCGCGCGCCGGACTGCTCGACAGCCCGAGCGTGAAATCGTAGGCGGAAACCCCGTCGAGGCCCTGACGGAGACGCAGGCCGATGTTCACGGCGACGATGCCGTTCGCGTTGATGAGATTCATGCGGGTGTAGCCTGTTTCGAAGGCGCGTTGGAGGCCGAGGGTTGGGTCGTAGATGGCGAGGTGGAGGGTTGGGTTTACGGTGCTGGAGTCGAGGAGGGCTTTGGTTGCGTTGTCTAGGGGGGTTAGTGCGGGGGTAGGGAATGGGAGAGGGGGAGAGTACAGTCGAAGAAGGTTTGGAGGAGGAGGAGGTAGGTTGGGTTGGTGCTGATTAACCATTTCGGAGAGTCGAAGACGACGTAGCGGTAGCTTGTGTTTTGCCAGATGAACTCTTGGAAGACGGAGTCGTTGTTGTACCTAGGCAAAGTCAGCGGGGTGTCTCTACATGAGATGGGTCTCGAACCAGAGTTCTTTGCAAGTGCATTGTGTGCTGTTGCCGAATGTTTTTGGATCCAAGCTCGCACATGCAGGCGCGGCCTCGTTGTGCCAGCCGAGGAAACACTTGGAGCCGCCGCTTCGGAGGATGGCTTGAGAAGACCAGTCGCTGCGTTGGAATACCGCGACGGATGGGAAGCGAACGCTTGTCTAGGGACGAAGTTCTTATTAGTTCAATGCTGTAATGCTGGAATTTGCTACATACAACGGAGTCAGTCGACGATGTCAAGATCTCTGTCCGTCGTTGCGGATACCATAGTTTGGCATACAGCAGGGTAAATGTAGGAATGGTAAGTATGACTATGGTAATAGTATTACCCAGGTTCGGTCGATACACATGTCGACCTACATCAGTCAGCAAAACCACAAACTCACCACAAGAATGTCGAGGAAACTTACGATTCGCCCGATTACTAAGAAAATATCTTATCGGCAGTACAACCGAGCATGTCGCTCCAAAGACGAGTATCACCGTCAACATCGACTCCCTAGGAAACCTTGCTCCCATACAGAGCAGGACCGCAAAGCTGATCAAGACACATAGGAACGAAAACACAGTTGTGGCATTTGGCCGACTGTCTCGAGGGAGAATCGAGAAGTGAACGTAGTCGCGGAAATCGCTGTGGCGACGACGGAGTGCCTCTTTCTGGTGACGGAAGCTGTTGACTGTAGCCAACTGGAAGCGGTCCCATGATCTTTGAGTTGATGGTGGATTTGGTCGAGGGCTGTTCGGCGGAAGATGCTGGGTCGTGCTCTCTGATGAGTTCCTAGACGGTTCTGTGTGAAGCTGCTGGTCTGGAATTTCGCCGGTTTCCAAGACTGGCGTCTGCGGTTCCACTAGTGGGGAAGACGGTTGCGGACTCATTTTGCTCGAGTGAGAGGTTTACATCTTTTGTTTGATAACCCATAAACATCGGATTTGTTTTTTGTTTCTTATATTCGTCTTTTCGGTTAAAGATAGGGGGTTGAGTGTGTGTACTACACTGCCATGACTATTATCCAGTCCTTCGATAGCCGGTAGTTGCAATGATTCCAAAGCTCACCGAAGATCACTCCAACGTAGGCTGCCGATTCCTTCCAGGCGCCATTGATACCCGACCAAAACCCCAAGGAAATTTGAGGCTCAAACGCGAGACTTCAGCGTGCAATATTGAGCCGTAATAACCGCCACATTAAGCGACGCACTCATCGATCCTCTACAACCATCACTTGCTCATCACATCCAACCCAAATCTCAGAGGTATTTATGATTGGGCTTCAGCGGGTTGCTCGCAAAAAGATACCCCCACCAATGCATATGTAGCCATGTGCACATTACCATTTCAGCACCAAGTCGCAGCCTTGTACAGCCACCTCTTCTCTCATCTGAGGACAACTCTAACCGGACCTCCATTTTCATTTCCTAAATAAGAAGACCTCCCCAAACGCGACATCTCCACATATCGTCAACTGCAGATCTATCACAAGGCTGCATATACAAAAGGAATAACTCACGTTACGCAACAGCGACTTAATAAACATTCGGGCCGTCCGCCGTCCACGTTTTAGGTATGTTGCACGCCGAGCATGCAGCCTTATATCGCAACGTTCAGGTCAAGCTTTATTCCATCCCATTTCCTCTCCGAAGCGAGGAATGTAATTGCAATGTGGCAACTCCGAGGTGTTTTGATCGCGAGTGCCTGATATAATTCGAAGGTGGCAAACACGGTAAGCTTGATCCTGCGAAAACAGTACCTCTTCATATGCCGGAACTGGTCTATGAGGGGTAAGTCGAAGCGTTGGAGCTTATCCGGAATGCATGCGATTGCTTTAGTCCTAGGCGTGCGAGTATGCCAAGATATATTTACCAAGTTGATGAGCGTTGGTGTTTATTGCTTTATGCGGAGCGGTAGTTCATATCCGAGGCGCTGTTGTTTTAGTGTAGCTCGGTGTAGAATATATGAGATTGATGGGTGGGTTTATTGCTTCTACAATTGATTGCGTTGTCGTTATGGATATTGAAGTTGGTATCTCGCTCCTCTTTGTAACTGACTCTGCTAGATCTCGATCGCGATATGCTAGCATAGAGATAGGAAGATAATAAACAGGATGATGAATCAAATGATAATAGATGCTAAAAAATGAATAATAATTAATAGGATTCGCAGATTAGATTGGGGGTCAAGCATTGATGTCCTTTGGAAGAAATTCCACATGCATCTTTCTTGCCTGTCCATCCAGGATCTTTAGCCCCCAGGTTGTATGGGACTGTTCAGGAGCGCACCACTGGAAGAAATTATGAGGCTCAACAATCTCTCGGAGTTAGATATACGAAAGTCAGTCTGCTCACCTTTAAACAAACATTCATCCACAAATCACATCTCCACCTCACCCAAGCAATCACTCAATCATCAACATGCCTTCAACACTATACTCACTCCTAGTGCTAGCTCTGGCACTCTCACAAGCGGTATCCCAATCCATCTACATCGATCGCGTCCGTGAATATGGCTCACTCCCCTGCTGCGCACAAATCCCCGTCAGCTACGTCGTGCGAAACATGCGTAACGGCTGCGGTGACAACAACGCTCTAACCTCCTACAATTGTTTCTGCACGAGCAGCTCCAGCTTCTTCCGGAGTCTGATCTCGACCGAGGTGGTAACGGGATGTCCGGGCAATGACACAGCTGCAGAGCAGGCCGTGAACGTTTTCAGTCGGTATTGCGCAGTTGGGGCAACGGGCTCGCAGACGCCGCTAGGTGGTAAGCATTGCAATTCTTGTGTTTTAAATGGACTGACTGATGAGGATATGTCTAGTGAGTGCAGTTCGGACGACTTGTCGGGCTTCAACGTCGAGTGTAGCTACGCCAGCAGCATCACCTGCGAGTACGCAAGCTAGGTTGACGTCGACTTTGGCAGCATCGCCGACGACGTCATTGCCACCGCCCGCAAACTCGAGTGAAGGGTTAGGGAGTGTGAAAGTTGTCGATGTGTTTTTAATGGTTATGTTTTTGGTTTTGGCCGTTGCTTGCGTGTATTGATTAAGTGAGGAACCCCCGATGAGGGAAGAATAGCGGGAAAGAAGATTGGAAGGGAGACCGGAAAAGTTTTAGGATAATGATGTTGCCCGTAGTACCTGGAGGGCTACCTAGAGATACGTATGATTAGTACGAAATGATGGGAAAGAGGTCGGGACGGATGCCGGAAATTTGGCAGTATAATGATGTTGTCTCTGGTATTTGATGCGCTAAAAAGTTGCTGTATTCGTCGCAGGTGTAGGAATAGAATGTATGCAATGTAGCGATAGGTGGTCGCACAAATGGAACCCCGGAAAGATCCATTGACAAATATTAGGATCGGGTTGTTCATTCGCGTTGACTTAACACGATATCGGGTGTGTAGAGAAAATGAGTAAAGGATTTCTTTGGAATGTTAAGATTTGCTGGAGCGTTCTTGAAATGTCACCGATCAGATCGAGTTGTAGCAGATTTCCAAGCTCCAAGATGCAAATGAGAAATCTCAGACCAGTGACCTGAAGAATCTGGGCGTATCGAGCTTCCACGAGTAATGAGGCGCGAACTTCTACAAGAGAGGAAGCACTCGTGAAATGTAGAAATGCCTGATATGTGGTCTCTGCCCGGAGGCTACACTAGATTGGCCGCCTACCTGGACTTTGGGAGATAGTTGTTGGAACTTCGGAAACTACGTTGCCTTAGGTAACTCGAACACAAGGACATATTGGAAACGCGATCATCAGCGTAGGAAGACTCGAAGAGGAGCCGGCTTGGAATGTAAACGCTCCAAGTCTAGAGGGAGAAGAGACAAAAGTCCTATAGACAATAGGGAATCTGCGTCAGATGCCAGATAAGCTTCCACGAAGACCAGGTACAGAAATGAGGCTCGATAGTGAGGTGAGGTGTGAAAGGCAAACAGATGAAGTCGAGCAGAAACTCGCCCAGCTCGCTTAGCACGTGGCACCCGTTCGCACATCAGTCACGTGACCATAACCGGTCGGCAGCTCCCGGACTCGGGTTCAGCTCCTGACCGAAATGCTCGATTCTGGAATCTGCATCAACAATGATATTGCGGCGTGGCAACGGCAAGTAGGCAACGAGATCCAGTTACTTGGATCAAGGCGCAGCCAAATATCTTACTCAAGACTTTCTCTCTTGGGCACAGTGCTGATGCGATGCGGCTCTAGTGGGAGTTGTTTGATGTTGCGAGGTTGCTCTGCTCTTTTCCAGGTGAACCGCATCGTGCGTCATCGCTATTTGGTGGGGTATTTCTCGTTGGGCTGGAGACAATGTCACTTTCAAGTGCTGGCAGGACTCGACATGGATGCGCTGCACGGCTTGGGCGAAACTAGAATCGGCAGAAGAAGTTTGAGAAGACATAGAATCTGGGAGGTTGGGGATCTATTTTAACCGTATCTGTTGTTCACTATCATTGGTTGTTTGGTGGTCGTTTTACGGTCTTTTCCTTGATTTTCTGCGCTTAACAGAGCTAATCTTGAAATACCCCGAGTTGCTACTTGGATTAAGCTTCACCTCAACGCTCAACGCTGTTGTAAGTTAGGGTTATAAAGGACAACGAAGTAGTTTTATATCACAAAGTATTATTCACACTCATGTAAATAGTGAGTCAAGTCACCCGCTATATTAAGACATTCCTCCGAACGTGCCGCTGTCATCCTCCTCCTACACAACTTCCTCCCAGGTCAAGCGCATCACCAACCAACAATCTGTCTCAACGCCAGTCTACCTCCGGTCCTCCAGTCCTCCACTCCCACAAACTGTTTCCGCCTCATAATTGACGCAAGAAATTCACCTACCGATCAATACCCTCTGCGCACCAAACTAAAGTGTCCTACCAAGTATCTCGCCTGCCATCTCCTATTCAAACCTGGCCTCACCCCAGTAACAACCTCATCATCAATTCGAGCTCGAGGCTCGCTGCACTGCTTTGTCACTCTTTTCCCTCTCTTCTGGAACCCTCACTGGTCCATCACCAGACCTTCCAGACCCACTGACATCCGCTTGCCATTCCGTGCATAAGGCTGTCGCGAGGAAGTGGGAGAAACCTCACCACTTGTGAGCCACACTCGCTTCACTCTGGCTGTGGAGGGGCAGCGAAACCCATAACACGCGCATTAAGAGCACACAACAGGATAGGACGAGGGAAGACGGAAGAGGAGCGTCAAGGCTCAAGAGGCTTGGTACCGACGTTTGACAAGGCTTTGACCAAACTCTCCCGCCAAGTCCACCCGACCACTCGCTCCCACTACAAATCGTCCCCTCGACCCCACCATCACCGACCATTATTCTGACGCTGACCTTCGCAACACGTTGCCGCTTCCGATCAATCACTCATCTGGGTGCCCTCGCCTGCGGGCTCTGACTCTCCTCTCTCTCCGTCATCATTTCAACCCCTTTTCCACCAACAAACTTCATTATGCCAGAGATCGTACGGGAAAGAGTGGTGCGCGGATATGCGGGAAGGGATCGGGACGACTATTCTTCAGATGATGATCGCTCGTCGTATGGACGCTCCAGAGCCGGAGGCTCGTCTTATCGCACTGTCCAACGTTACCGCGTGGGAGGTGACCATGGCGACCGTGTTGAACCCGTCGACGACTTTCGTCGCACATCGCACATTGAGATCGACCGCCCAGGGGAACGAGTGGAAATCGACCGTCGTACCGAAGTTGATCGCCTTCGAACAAGTGATCGCGACCGAGACCGAGACCGAGACCGCTTCTATGATGGCCCGGAAAGACCCAGATCGTCTATCGATATTCGACCAGCGCGATCAAGCTTCGTCGAACGAGATGTGACTATTGAGCGGGAGAAGCCTCGGGAGCGAGAACGAGATACGACATTTATCGAACGCGATCGCATCATCGAGAGAGAAAGGCCGCGAGAATCTCCACGGGAAACAAAGTACATCGAGCGTGATCGCATTATTGAACGGGAGCGCGAACCTTTTAGAGAACCAACTCGCGACGTCCGCGAGCGCGAGCGAACTCTAGTTGTGGAACGGGACCGCCCGCGCTCGCCAGATAATTCGCGACCATGGGAGCGACCGCACCGACCTTGGGAAGACGAACGAGCCGTTCGCGAGACAGATGTCAGAATCGAGAAGCGAACGACCGAACGTCACGATGAGCCTTACGAACTCGACCGAGTCACGAGAGAAATCGAGTACTATGATCGTCCCGAACCACCACCACAACCCATCATCATTCGACAAAGAGCTCCAGAGCCTCAACAGATCATTGTGCAAGAAGCGCCTCCACCGGCACCAATCGTTATACCACGCGAGGAACAAAATTACGAAATCGTTCGACGAACAGAAGTCAAGCAAGAAGTTGCTCGGCCTGAGCCAAGACCTGAGCCAAGGCGCGAGGAAGAAGATTACTATTATCGCAGAGATGTCCGTGTTGAAGGCGGAAGAGGAAGAGATGATGACTATGCGATGGCCAAATACGATCGTAGAGAAATCCGTCCTCACGACTCGGTCAGTGATCGTGGTTACAGCGACGATGAGGATTATATTGTGAGACGAAGAATCGTCAAGCAACGTAGTCGAAGTGGCAGTTCCCACCGTAAGCGTCATCTAGCTGAAGGAGCGCTTGCTGGTGCTGGTATTGCAGCTTTGGTCGGCAACCACCGCGACAAGACTGGTAATGGCCCAGAACATCGTGGTAGGAATGTGGTGGGAGGAGCAGCTCTAGGCGCTATCGGTGCTGAAGTTGTCACCAGAGCACGAAGTCGATATCGTGATCGCGAGCGTGATCGTCACAGCAGAAGTCGTTCACGATCGAGCAGTAGACATTCCCATACCAAAGTCAAGACAGCTTTGGGACTCGCCGTTGCCGGTTTAGCGGCTGCGGCTGCTGCGAAATATGTTTCCAATCGAAATCAAAACAAGGAAGAATTAGGGCGCGGTCGTAGTCGAACTCGCAGCAGAGGTCGAGGACGCTCCTCGAGTTATTCTTCTGATTATGGCAGCCGGGCTCGTAGCAAGAGTGTTCATACCGATCCCAAACACCGAAATGCAACAATCGCCAAGGCTGGAGCCGCTACCGCTATAGCTGCGGCGGTCGCCAATCATGTACGAAACAAGTCACGCAAGCGAAGTGGCTCACGATCAAAATCACGAGTTCGAACTGGTGCGGAGGTTGTCGGAGCTGGTTTGGCTGGAGCCGCAGTCGCTGGGCTCTATGAGAATAGAAAGGCAAAGGAGGAGAATACTGAAATTCAAAGAGAAGTTGAACATGAACACGTTAAGCGAGAACGGAGAAGAAGCAGGTCGAGAGCCAGATCCGTTGGTGCATATTCTGATCCGGGAGTTGACCCAGAATTAGGAATGGTTCAGTACGGTACTGATCCCGTATATACCACGACGCAACATACGACAACGTACCGCGAATTTGATGATGATGATCGAGATCACCGATCACGAAGTCATCGTCGAAGACATTCATCCAGCTCTGACGATCAGAGACGTGGTTCAAGAAGTCGAAGTCGAGTTCGAGATATCGCTGGAGCAGCTGCTGGCACCGCGGCAGCTGCCATTGGTATCAATCAATACAAGAAGAGGAAGGAAAAGAAGGAAGCTCAGCGTGAGAGGGAACGAAGACGTGAGGACCCCAGCACTCTAGATCTCGTTCTCGCTCTAGGTCTGGATCTTCAATTAGGACTTCCATTGGGAAGCGGTTATCAAACCTGATACCTAAATGATCCAGACTAGAGTTCAACTGTATATAGAGTTTGAACGTTCATGTATTTTTCGTTATACTAATTTCTCATATTTCAGGCTATGAAGAAGAACCACCAGACGATTATTATTCTCGCGACTATGTCGATGATGGTTATTCCCCTTCTCCTCCTCACGCTTCGGGTGGATCATTTTATCCTGACCACAATCAATTCCAACCTCCTCAACAACCTGCCTATACTCCCGGTTTTACACAACATCCCAATCTCTCTACACCAAATGTAGGACAGTCACCACTTCCAACTTATAACCCAGCCGATTACGCACCTGGAACTGGTCCAGCGCCACAACCTCCTCATGACCCCTATGGTTACCCTCCGACCGTTCCCAGATCCGGAGACAATGTGAGTCCAAGAACTACCACTCATCAGTATCCTCCTGATCCCGCCAATCCGACCATGTCGGGCGCGACTCCCTATTTTCCTCCACCACCTACCACTCCTCTACCACAAGAGCCGAGACACTCGGAGGGTGCGTCTTAAGCCTATTTCCATCGAAGTCAGCAAATTGATCTGATCTTTTTTTCATCGTACTAATATTGTCTTAGCCTCCACACATGTGATGGTTTACACCCCGCCTTCATCTCCTGAATCAGAAACTTCAGACCACCACCGCTCCGTCGCATTCGCCCCTCTTTCTCCTACCTCCTCCCGCCGCCTCTCCCGCATCCAGCAGACCCACCAAGATAACCTCGCTCGCTCATCCACCGATCTCGTTACATCTCCCACTCCTACGCCAAATACTGAACACCACCACCATCACCGTCGCAAACGCAGAAACTCAGACCCAGGCTCCTCAGACCGGCCCTCCCGTCACAAAAACAGCTCCCTTTCTCATCAGCGCGACCGCTCCGTCTCCCCAACCCCATCCTCAGACATCGAAATCCTCCCCGACAGATTCGATGCCCACGGTCGTCGTATCTACCCTGATGACCCGCCGCCGCCGCCGAATCCGAATGAGATGGTTGAGCGTCTGGTGAGTGATTTCACGGGCGTGCTTGAGGGACGCAAGAGCTGGAAGGATATGTTGAGGGGGGTCGTGGAGGGGGCGCAGGGGAGTGGGATTGCTGGAATTGCCGGGGAGGGGAGTAAGGAGGGTTCGAGGAGGCGGCGATGAGGTTTCTTATTCTTTCTTTTCGATATCTTGAGGGTTATGATGTGTGCTTTTGTGGATTGGGGATTTAGTGCAGGGAGGGGATCATATCCTCTTTCTCTTTGACATTTACATTTTTTTTGCTTTCTGGTTTTTTGTTGTTTTTATTGGGGATAGGATGATGGTAATTGGGAGGAACTTTGGATGAGAGGCGAGATGAGATGAGATTTAGGTATGATTTATTTTTCAAAGATATGATGAGATATGAATAATGAAAATTTTGGGTTTTGTTTTATTATACCGCTTATTACTCAAAGGATACAAGAGTTCATGGTGTAAAAAAGATCCTGTTGCTGTGAAATTATAATTGATTGAAAGCTAGTGAGGAGAGCGGAAATCGGAGACCGGTCCGAAGAGTAAGCGAGTTTCTACAACCTCACCTCACTCGTGTACGTTCCTCACCCTACATCTATCATTTCACAACCAAAGCCCCGTTCGCTCAGTCTCACTTATCTCATATTTAATTCATCCCAAGAACGTTACACTATAATACACACGTGCGCCTTATTCTTGAATGTGCCACGCCAAGGTTGAAGGGCCAGCCTTGCCTGTAGTCGTACCTATCGAGTGACTACTCGCATGTACTCCCCAGCTCTTCAGCTCGTGTTCACCGCAAAAGGAAGTTATGTTGTTGTTCTATGGGTGCATCTCGGTATCGGTGCGTAGTTCCGCGTTGAGGTTTGTGATATAGATGTGGTATACGGATGGTGTGATGGACGCTTAGGTTGAGGAGGGGTTGGTGGTCCAATGCTGTGGTGTAGGAAGAAGGCTGAGAGGTGACGGCCTTGTGTATCGACTACCTATGTACATCTGAAATCTACGACGCCCGGCTGAGGTTAAGTTGCGGCTCTGCTGTCCATCAGCACAGGCTGGCTTCAAACCATCGACTACCTGATACTGTTCTACGCATCTCAATCGTCACTGCATCAACTCGCGGCTCCCTCATCCGGCATATTAGCCCTCGCCAGTATCGTCAACCTCGTCCACACAAAACTACACCACTCAATCATCTTCTCCTCATACTGCACCCTCCTAGGAAACACCACCCCGATATTCTCAAAATACACACCCATCAACGCCCTCATCATCGAGAACAATTTGTACGCCACGCCCGGATCATTATTCGCCAGCCCCAGGAACTCGCAGATCACAATCACAGAAAGTCCCGATCTAGGCCACAGATCCATGTACGAAAGGAACATATTCACCTCCATCTCGGAAAACGGACCATTGGTGACCTTGCCATCACCAAGAACCATATACATCCCATTCATGGTATGAAAGAGCTTCCGCCTAGTATCGTCAGTATCAAATCTTAAGATCCTCGCAATCGGTCACTTACGTGGCTTTATCAAACTGGCTCCAATACTCCACAAGTTCTTCTTGCGCCGCTTGAGCTTTCTTCTCCGTCCAGTGCTCGCTGCGATGTTCGATCCGCGGTGTGGCTTCTCGTTGTGTCTGCAGGAAATACTCCCACATATCGGGAAAGCGACGGATGATGTGGTCTTCGTAATCGAACGCTTCGTCCTCGGTAGACCCATCTTCATCTTTTTCCACAACACCCTCAGGAACCGCTTCGTCTCCGCCTTTGACGGCATACTCATCACCACCACTCTCATTCACCGCTGGTGCAGTCTGCGCTTCCTCCTTACCACTCCCGTCGCCCTCTCCCTTCGAGACAAGATTCACAGTCTTATCCACCTTACTCTTGTTCATATCTTTAAACATCGTCTGGGTAGACTTCTTCCGCGGCTTCGCGATCACTCTCGTCACCTCCTTCTCTTCCACGAGACGAAAGCCGTTGATGTCATATGCATCTGGAACGGGTACTTTGATGATGATCTTTTGTTCTTCCTTTTGCTTTCCTGTTTGCGCTGGGGTGGATGTTTGGCTGTCTTCTTCTTGCTTTCCTGTTTGCGTTGGGTTGGATGTTCGGCTGTCTTCTTCGCTCTTAGTTGGAGTTGTTTGTCCGCGAATATTGCGTAACATGGCGGCTCTGCCTGCTACTTTATCAATCGCAGCTTGTTGGATTGCTTCTTTCATTCCTTCCACATTTTTCTCTGCCACTTTAGGTTCTTTCACCTCCCCAGATTTATCTGTGTCACCTGCTTCCTTCCCTTTATCACTCGCAAATTCAGACTTGCCTTGAGCCACTGGTTTGCTTTTGCTCAACCCCTCCGCTCTTCTAAGCCGCCGCTGTTTATATGCTTCTGTCGCTTCAGCTCTTGCCCTTTGCAGTTTCTCTGCAGAAGTCAAATCTCCCTCTAACTTCTCAGGGGTGCTTCCCGTCTCAGTTCCAAACGCGGGAGTGTCTAGGTAAGTAGAGATGTTTTTCCTGGCCAGCGTCATCTCTTGAAGTGCATGTCGGGCCGCCTCAACGTGTTCTCTGTAAATCGGATTTGTCATGTCAAATGGCCCCATAGGGACGCCTTTCTGAGCAGTCTCAGAATGAGCAGCAGTGTTCAGAGAAGGGGTCGGAGTAGTAACTTCTGATCCAGTGGGCTGCGATTTAGACGAATGAGCTGTGGTCGTCGGAATAGGAGGACCGATTTTTAATCCAGTGGCCTTCAATTTACGCAGGTCGTCCTTCGGAGGCCTGTCCCAAAGGCTGAAAAAAGATTTCCGGTTGTCATCGATTCCAGGGAAAATCAACCCTCGCTCATTAAATGATATCCTGGGATCATATTGTTCTTGCTTTTGTCTGATTCGATCCTTTGCCGTCTGGTCTAAACTTGGCCATCGTTCGAGACAATTCTCCAAGTATAGACATCTCGACGAGGGTAGCATAAAGAAGTGCTCTATTCGTTTGAAAAATATCACAGCCTCTCGCCCGCTCACAAGAGCTTGAGGGAGGTAGTTTAGGTAGCCGAACCCTTCCACCTAAGGCACTCTGTCAGCGTACTACATTTGATTTTTAACGAGAGCCAAACTCACATTCTGAAGCGCTCGAGGGTTCTTGCGTGTCCAATTGGCAAACGCAACATTGAGATTATAGCAAAACTCAAAGAGCGAAGATTCCGCAAGGAGATGGGCTTCGGACCAGTACTCTTTCTTTCTTGGTCCATCATAAAAATCCATCAGACCAACATAGAATCTTCGCAGATGCGTTTCAAGCATACACATCTCATGTTCGTACTGCATGGTCTCGTCTTCGAATTCTAGGCTGGCTGGTAGTTCCCTCATATCTGCTGGTTTATACAAAGCCATCAACGGGGCTTCTAAATGAGTGCTGGATCGATGATTTCTTCGTGGTCGTCCAGTCGGAGTGGTGCTTGATGGCGCAGAATGTTTTCGGATATACGCTGTAAGCCATATGTAAAGCGCTCTATTATAAGCAATCTCTTCCGGCGTCAAGAGTTGACCTGTATCCATCCCAAACTCTCGTTTACTCTCCTCAGTATCCCCCGCCAAGTTAAGTGCAATCTGCCTCAACGAAGCATCTTTCGCATCCGCAACCTCCTTCGCGGTTACCGGGTTCGCGATCATATCAACCTTGTGCGCGTCATGCAAAAATTCAGCAGTATTATTATTACTCCGATCCCACTTCTCCATCTGCGCTTCCAGCTCCTCCGGTGTAGCTCCGCGACCTCGCAGCTTCTCATACACTTTCGCGCGCGTCTCCCGGAATTTCGCTTCATCCTGATAGACCTTGAACTCAGCCTGTCTCTGCTTTTCTTCTTTGTACGTCCCTTTTACGGTCATGGCGTAGGGCGATCTCCAGCCATGAGACAACACGGCCTTGAAATTCGCGTCGTCTTCTTCGAGACAGCGGATCTGCTCGTCGCGGCAACGGACTTTGCTGGATGTGGGCTTGGTTCGGTCGGCAAGGATCAGGATCTCGCGTTCCCAGTTGATTCGGCCGGTAGCCTTAAGTTTTTCTTCGCCTTGTGGGTGTTAGTATTGAGATAGTGAGATGGGGGGAGGGGGCTTACGCATTAATATATCTCGCTTTATTCCCTCGAGTGTGGGAATGATTTTGTCGCCGTTCATGTTGAGGAAATAGAGACAGCAGGCCTCGCTAACTGGAAATCCGTCTTTCTCACTCTTCTTCATGATTATATCCAGCAACGGCCTTTTCGCAGCGATCTCCTCTGGCGGCGGTTGACTATCAAATCATTAGCACTTTCCCTTCCCATTTACCTCCTCTCATCAAACCAAGCTCAAGAAAATAAAACACTTACTAAACCCGACTAAACAAATGATCACACAACTCATTCTTACACCACCCGGGCCCAAAACACTCCCTCGGCATCCGATCCAACATCGCGCCCACGCCCCTCTGCGCCCTCCTACTCTTCTTCCCATGCGACACCGTCATGTCGGCCCATGCTTCCTTTAGGAGCCGCTGAGAGAGTTTCTTTGCTCCGGGGTTTTTCGAGGCGGCTTCGAGCTCGGCGATGCGTTGGGAGATGGCGTCGGTGGGGAGGATAGGAGGGAGCGAGGAGGCGGTGGTTGGTTGGGATGGGGTGGGGGGTGGTGGTTTTGAGGGGGGGAGGGTGGGTTGGGTGGATGGTTCGTTTGTTGGTTCGTTTTCTTGGGATGAGTCTTCTTCGTCGTATTCGTCGTCGTCTTCTTCATCTCCCTCGCCTCCCCAATCCCCCTCCTCTTCACTATTCTCACACGATCCCATAGCACAGTCCTCCAAAAGATCGATATCAGGGTCACTATCCTCTTCATGCTCATACCCATCACCCTTATCATCTCCATCTCCAATGTACTCTTCAGCATCCTTCTCATCCCCATTAACCTCATGTCCAGTCAACGTCTCTCCAATATCTACTTGTGGAGTAGACATATCTGACGCTGGCGCTGTCCCCTTCCCCTTACCCTCACCCTGCGCCATAATAAGACTCTCAACCACACCCGCCAATCCGGCTTTCTTCGGAAACCCCAACATCTTAACCGTGCTTGAGAAATCAGCGATCTTTTGTCTCTTCTCGATGTCGGGTTCTTTGGAGCGCGGTCTTTTGTGGGGCATTGATTGTCGTTAGGCGATTGTTCTCGTTTGATGCGGTGAGATGCGATGTTGTGTTGCGCGGTGTTGTGTTGTGTTGATATTGGATTGAGGTAGTGGACGTGGTAGATTGGTTTGTTTGGTTTAAAGTCGCGCTTTTTTTTTTAAATGGGTGGGTTTGGTTATGGTGGTGAATTGGAGTATGACTGTTTTCTCGAGGTGGTGGAGACTTCTGGGGGAGAGGTGAAGGTGAAAGGGTGACTGTTTTGGGGATGGAAGTGAATTTGGTAGTGTGAGGTGATGTAATGAGTGAAGTTAGTAGGGGATTATCGATCTTGAATTATTGCTTTGTTAGTCAAGAGGTTGATACTCAAATTTAAGAGTTCCTAAATTGATCAGATGAAAAACTCTCTTGCTTACATGTCATGTTTTGTACTTCTCAGATGTTGACTTCAATTCCAGGACACGTCTTTCACGCTTTCCCGTATTAAATCAGGTCTGCACAAATGCTGTGTATATTGGATTCAAAAGTTCAAAGTACTTCTGTGACGATTTTCTAGCACTGGAATTCGGATGTTGAAGTTCAGAAAAGCACACTGTAATTAAATGGTCTCCAGATTCGAAACCTGGATTTGTTGTTTTGTCTATCGATCTCTGTTATCGTCAGCACAGTGGGATGATATGTAGAATACAACAGACCATTAGATGGCTAGCACAGTCCGCCTGCCGTCCATTCGTAGGCAAATTTATCTAAATCTATGTAAATATACAGAAATATACAAGAGTATTCTGTTACATATAAACTACATCTCGTACAACATAAGCCCCTGTGGTATGTATATATCAATCAACCACAAGTCGCCGCACTCGATCTTTCAAGCACCCGTCTTGCTGTATTTCAATGACTTCAAGCCCCCTTGATATTAAACACCTATCAAGCTTTCCACGTCCTCTCAATCTTGAACAAGGTAACAAAACCCTCATCAACATACATTCGACCAACCTTCTCAAGTTCTGCCCACACCTCAGGATACATACCCCTGCCCCACTCCTCGATCTCATCTTTCCGATTTTGTCCAGGCATAGCATTATAGAAAATACCGAATCTAATATAATTAGCATCACCCCAAAAAGAAGAAGGAAATAGGGAGGACTCACGTCATAAAATCAGGTTTCAATCCATACTCCTTCTCACCATTCAAAATCGCATCTTTCGCCTCCTCGAGTTTTCCCCTCCCACCCAAAGCGCCAATATAAGCTTGCCAAACATCCCTCGTGATCTCAATCTCCATCCTGCGCATCTTAGCCCAAGTTTCTTTAACCGTAGTGTAGCCGAATGGTGCAACTTCGCATGCTCTGAAAACAATCTCAAGACTTTGATAAGATGGGCCCTCGGTGCTATTAGTGATGTCGACCCAGAACTCCAAGGCACGATCACCATCATCGATCGCCGTATAAGCAAGCATGAGGGCGTTGTATAGTTTGGTATTTGGTTCCATGGCGGAATCCAATTTGAACATATTGTGGACCATGTCGAGTGATTCTGCATCTTTGCAACTGGCGATACCTTCGAAACAGGCGATATAAGTCTCCAAAGTCGGCTTTCTGGTGGTAAGATGATGTTGGCGCATGTGTCCAAAGACATAAGAAGCCATATCTGGGCGTTTTCGAGCGAAAAATGCTTGCATCAGCTGTGTGCGGATCGCGGTCTCTGTCTCGTCGAAAATTGATTTCACTACTTGGTAAGCATCCCATGCTTGAGCGTCAGAATGAATCTGGTCAATACAGAAGTTCACGAAACGGTCGCGGATTCGTGCTCTTTCCTCCAGGCTATAATGGTAGACGTTTGTCTGCAGGATGTCATACATGTCCTGAATACTTTCACGTTCTAAATAGATCATTGCAATTTCAGCAGTAGTGTCGGGCTCCAACCTAGCCTTTCTGGCGTCCAAATCGGCCAGGATAGTGGTAATGCGGTCGAAGGTGTTCGGTCGAGAGCAGAGCGCTCGAAGATACCGATTGATGACAGGAAGATCTCCCTCGTCCAGGACTTCTTCAGCTTGGAGAGAATCATAGACAGCTTGCGCCCCAGCCATGTCACCCGCATCTACACGATATTTCATTTGAAGGATGAATGTCCGAACATTAGGCTGGATATTCCATTTCGCTCCAAGATTAATATAGCGTTCAGCCAGGTAGGGATCATTCAAGGATATTGCAAGCTCTACCAGGCCATTGATGGTATTGATGTCAGGGCGCACTTCTTCGTTGCGTCGGTTTCGTCGAACCATGACCTTCATCATCCGTTCTACGTCTTCGACTCCTTTTCCAAGAGCTCCCGCGGCCCACAGTAATACAACGTCCCAGTGGTCTTTGTCAATATATTCTGAATCGAGTACTTCACGAAATACGTCCTTACACCAATCCACTTCTCCCTTCGCCACGTTAAGCTTCAAGACCAGAGCAAGCGTGTCAGCTCTGATAGTTCCGCCCGCAAGAGGTTTGCGGATCCAAAACTTTGTAGATTCGACATCACCCCGTCTTACATAAAATTCGACTACGGCGTTTTGAAGTTGAGGAGTATAGGAATGCCCGCCACGCTCCATCAAGTCTAGAGTCTTACGTATCTCTGTTTCATTGTTTTGGTCTGCGAAGCTTTTCAAGATAAAACTGAATAAGAGACGCGAGGATCTTTTAGCCTTTTGAGCGGTAGAGCTGGGTTGTGCCAGTGGATGCCCGTGCAAAAGGTCCCTCGCACTGGTCGGTTGTCCCCCTGCCGCTAAGATTTGTATCATCAGAGACAATTGCCCAAAATCCTCGACGAAGCCTCTTCTTGAAAGTTCTCCCCTTACAGCTTGAGCTACCGCAATGTGTTTCTCCGGGTCCTCCTCGGGCACTGTCTTCATAATGGCCATGCAACTCATCAAATCGTCGTTCGACAGAAGGAAGCTTCCAACCTCATCTGTTTCGCCTTTCAAGTGCTCGAGCACGCGCAATACGTGACCAGCCTGGAGACTGTTGACAGCGCGATTATTGGATTCCTTATCTACCACAAATTTTTTCAAGGCCATTGCCACGCCGGGAGAGGGAGGGAGTCGAGCTCCAATGTGTTGCATTTCAAGGAATTTGAGCATCTCCAGCCATCCTGGATCAACACTCGCTTCTTTCGGTTGGCGCGGTGGTTTTCTCGAGAAACCGAATATGCTCCTCCTCTGAGGGTGTAGAAAAATAGGTGATGCATTGCGTGATGGACTCCTTCGAGCAGTGATTGCCGATTGCGATGGACACGGGAAGGTAAAGCCTTCGCTGGAGAGGAGCCGTCGAAATACGCTGCGGGTCAAGTGAGACCTCATTTTGAGAGCTGATATTATATACAAGGAACAGAAGCTAGTGGTAGTTAGCAATCGAGCAACAACAGGGAATTATTCTAAATTACCAATTGGCGTCATGAGGGGCGTATGTGTGAAGGTAACATTTGTTGCAGTTCGCCCGCTGGAGCTGCCAGCTTCAGAGCAATTCGGAAAGCCGGCGAAAGGATGTTCCGGTGCTCATGACCCCACTAAAAAGTTCTCGAGGTCTTTCGACGAGACTGTAACAAGTGCGATTTGGATGACAACTGCAGCCATATTGCTCTCAATTCTAGTCAACCATGCCAAAAGAAAATAAACACTCCCGCGGACGGAGGAAGGAAGAAAAAGACAAAAAGCGCAAACGAGAAGATTCCTGTGATGGGGACGTTGTCGATGGCAAACGCCAAAAAACCCCCACCAGCTTCGAAGACCCAGAAGTAAACTTCATCGGCCTCGACAATGCACCGCAAAATGAAGATGCATCTGCTCCTGTCACCGAGCGTCCATTTTATGGAATGCTTGAGGATGAAGAACAAGAATATTTCCGCCGCGCCGACGAACTCCTCGAACTCAATGACTTTCCCACTACCGAGGAGCGAGACTTGTTCTTGGAGAACGTATTCAGAGAAGCAGAAGGGAAGGAGCTGAAAATTGCATGTAGTCAGAGCTGTTCGCGACTGATGGAGAGGTTGATATTGCTGAGTAGTACGAAGCAGAAGAAAAAGCTGTTTGGTGTCTTCGCAGGCAACTTCTCCCATCTTTGCCAACATCGATTTGCGAGCCATTGTGTCGAAGGTCTGTTTATCGGTAGTGCAGGTGTCGTTACTAGAGAGCTCACGGGCGACGAGAAACTAGAGGAGAAGAGACAGGAAGGAGACATGGGGATGGACCAAGGGGAGGAGAACGTGGAGAACTCTTCGATGGAAAGTTTGTTCTTGGCCACGCTGGATGAACTCGAGGGACAGATGACATTTCTTTTGACTGACCGATTTGCTTCGCATACTCTTCGAGTACTTCTAGTCATATTGTCAGGACGGCCATTGGAGAAATCCTCAACCAGTTCCCTCCTGCAAAGCAAGAAAAAGGAGAAGATTTCTGTCGCAAATGTCAACTCGGCACCGACTGAGTTCGCTCTGAACAAGCGTGCCGTCCCTGAGTCTTTCCAGTTCGCTGTAGAGAAGATTATTTCAGACACAGTAGCAACCATGGATACATCCTTTATTCGGGTGCTAGCTACACATCCTACTGGAAACCCGACGCTGCAACTTCTTCTTGAGCTCGAACTCACAAACCCTACATCAAAGAAAGGTGTAAATGCAGATCAAAAGACAATAATTTCGGCACTCTTGCCAGACGACATTGGCGAAGAAGGCAGTTCCTCGGCAGTGTTCGTCAACGGGCTGATGTATGATCAGATTGGTTCTCGACTCCTTGAGACCATATGCGAGCATGCTCCGGGAAAACTGTTCAAACAGATCTATAAATCAACATTCAAGGAACGTATTGCTGGCCTGGCTAGAAATGAAATTTCAAGTTATGTTGTCATCAAGGTTCTGAACCGATTGAGCAAGGAAGATTTGGAAGACGCAGTTGAGCAAATGGGCCCGCAGATACAAGGACTGGCTGAGCGCAACAGGACCGTCATTATCAAGACACTATTCGAAAGATCCTACGCAAGACATTCCACGAAATCGGTTGAAAAGCTTGTAGAGACTGTTGGCTCATCTTATGGTTCTGATCCATCAACATTGCTTCTAAAAATGGCGTGTATAGAAGACGTTGATGCCTTGATCAGAGCTACGTCTGATGCATCCCAGCCCAATGAGGATGTCCCCGCAGAAGAAGAGGGAGAAGAAGCTTCTAAGCCAAAGAAGAAGATTACCAAATCGCAACCTCTCAGACCAACTCCTCAACAGACTCACGGCTCCCTCCTAGCCCAGTCTCTTCTCAACATACCCGGTGGCCCGAGTGCTTTAATTCACGATTCATTGCTGAGCCTGCCACAACCAACACTTCAAGCATTTGCACTTTATACACCAACATCACACATCATCCAAGCAGCATTTACTCCAAAATCCCCTCCAATATTCCGAAGGAAATTAATCAACACACTCCTCTTCTCGCCCGATCACCCGGACGCTCTTCTCACTCTAGCTCTCTCACCAACTGGATCTCACACCCTTGATGCCCTCCTCCCCTCTACAGCATCGATAAATAGTCTCTTCACTCTTACCGAACGCATTGCCGTCGCTCTGACACACCATGAAGCTACACTACGAGATTCTTTCACCGGCCGCATCGTCTGGAAGAACTGGCAGCTAGATCTCTTCAAGCGTAGACGTGGCGAGTGGGTAAACACCATAAAACAGCTCGCTGCTGCGAAATACCCATCCGCAAAGGCAGCCATCGAAACAAACGTGGAGGAAGCCGTTGAAGAACCCGCTGTTTCTGCTACAAAGAGCAAGAAGAATAAGAAAAATGGTGGAGTTAAAGGCGAGGTCGACGCTGGACCGAAGAAATCAGCCATCCAGCTTGCGAGGGAGAGACATGCTGCGAAGAAGGCTGGCGTCGGCGGTGTTAATGCTGTAAAAATTGGACATAAAGGGACGGGTGTTAATAGTGGGAAAATCGGTGCGAAGAAGAGCACTGATCATCCGAATGGGGATGTACATCCTAGTCGGAAAGTTGTTATTGGATTGTGAGGTTGTTGATAGGTTGAAAGTTGGATGAAGTTGCTGGTATGAGTTGTACAGAGATGTGTAGATGATACCCATGAATATGAATAAAACATTCTGTTACTGAGGTTGACCTTTGTGATATACTATGCTTTGTAACCCATATGATATTTCGATCTGATTTATATCTTCGTCTTATCATTGTGGTTTGGAAGTTCCTTTCCATGCCATTGCTTTCTCATCATGTACTCCGCATCGTCTTCCTCTCGTCGACTGGCTATTCTCATCAACGACACCATACACACCAACACCATGTCCACCAACATATCTATTCAACTTATATCCGCCTTTCAGCTCATATCCTCTCACCATCTTAATATCTCCCTCGTATGCTCTCTTTTTACTCGAATCATATCGACCTTCTACGCAGCCATATTATCCAGCTAATGTTACGTTCACTGATTCATATATTCACAAGACCCGGAGTCCTCACACCTCTGGGATTTTCGTATCATGTTCCTCATGTCACGGAATCTCGCTCATTTTTGAACAATATTTTTTCCTCTGATCAATATCCTCTGCTCTCATCGTCCCGATTTTATACACATACACAATTCTCAGTCCACCGATACCCCTCACATCAGCCGTCGCAATATCCCACTCTTACGATCTACTTCGCATTATATCTCCCATATTTTCATGACACTGTCCTCGCATTATCTAGATTTTTGACATAATATTCTCAAATCCCTGCCAACGCTGATGTCTACCTAGGTACTAATACGTGTGTTTGTTAATAATACTATTGATGTTCACCGACATCCTGGTGTTACCCATCAACGTAGTCATTCTTTATGGTGCTGTCCTCCATTTTCAACTTCCTCACCACATATATCCACCTAAGTATCGTGCATAAAAAGTCATACCATTATCACATCCACATGGGGTCGCGTCACCTCCTTAGGATGATCTCATCGTGGTTCTCGTATACACAATGGCACATCGAGACCTGTATTCTCCAGCATTTCCTGTCTTTGCGATCTCTCTTGCTCCCACCATCACATCTTCTCATCGTCTCCCTCTTCCCTCCCACCCCTCTCCAAGCTCATGCTCTCCACAGCATCTCTCTCTAATAAAATAATCGTCTGCCTCTTCAACACTATTTTTACACCCCACCTACAGCCCCTAACACATACGCTCGCCACCATCAAACCTCTTGTCTAACTCATACTCTATTCTCCCTGCTCTTCTTCAAGTCTCGCCTTAACGAACCATTATATATACTACATCAACCTTCCCACGCTCCCACGTTCCCCACAATCTCAAGTCCCAACTTCAACTCGTCCCAACTATCCACCATCCTATCACCTAACCACCTAACCACCTAACCACATCACCCCTCTTCTCACCACTACTCTCCTTCGCTCATAATCTTCCTCCCTTCCACCCCATCCCCGATCCCCGAATCCATCCCAACCACGCAGCTCACAATCACCATCCATCTCCCTCCAAATTCCCATTCACACCACTCAACACCCCACCACATCATCACTCCTCCGCTTCATCTTTCCACATCCAACAACCATCACCTCACCCCCTCCCCATCCATCTACTACCCCACTTCCCGTCCCTATTACCACCACATACCTAGACCCCATCCTCACCACACCTTCCAGCTGTAAGACCCCCGCTTTCCATTCACCACTTCCCATCATGTCACTCCCACGCCTTTTCATTTGCTTTTGCCTTTTGCCTTTTGCTCTACCAAATGCTGCCCCCTCCCTCACTTCCTTGAAAATACAACGTCAGAGTCCGCCAAGTAGAACGATTCGAAGCTGTCTTCTGAAGTGATGTTTCTCTTCTTCTAGAGACACCTTTGAAGATCTGGATCCGCCCGCTCCCAATGATGTTATTTCTGTGATTATTTGGTCCATGTCATACTTCAAAGTTAGTTACAAAGGCTTGGATATAAGTTCAGAGAATTAAATCATGAGATTAACCTTCCTTTCACCCAAGTTATTATGCTCATTGCAAGGTTTCTTCACACGAATCTTGGTAGTCACAAAAATGAAGACTCGACAAAAGGATTTGGTAAAACGTGTTGATTTAGTACCTAGCTAAGGGAGGGCAGTCTGGAGACTCCACCATCTTCGTTTCGAGTATCTTCCATCAAAGTCACTATTGTTAGTTGAATAAACGCATTTTCTACATTCGTCAAGTCCATATGACTTTGAAAACCCCTCCGAAAAGATCGCATAGTTTTTGCATGTAAAAGTCAAGCTGCAGGAAAAATCAAAGACTCGTGAAATACAAAGCAGGGCCGGATTTCAGATTAACAAAAGCATACGCTTGAGTCCGAATCTAAATGTACCACATGCTGGTACGAATGTACTTCAACGCAGCTGGATCTTTGACATCACAAGCAAGCGGTACAAGTGGGCGAGCTTCCGAAAGTGCTGCTTGAGAGCCACTTGAAGAGGCGGGAGGTTGAGAACCACCTCCACCAGCGCGTTGCCGAACACCGGCATCTTGCTGTGCTTCTTCGTACTTTTGACCACCTTTTGGACCATCAGAGGATGCTCCAGGCTCGTGGCAACGAGCACGATTCGAAGCCAAATGAGCGTAGTACACAGCCGGATCTATGTTTTTGTTAATATGAGTTGTGTGAGACAGAAGGAAGAAAAGCTTACATAACGAGACCGGAGTCGTAGAACGAGCATATTGATAGCAGTGCTTGTAAATCATGTTCTGAAATAAAGTTGGATCCATTTGTGCATCATCCTTGATGACATGGTAATGGACAGGTCGTGCAGTTCCCTGAATCGCCGAATGGGAGGAAAGATCTGCTCAAAGTTAGTTCTATTCAACATTCCAACAATTAGAGACTTACAGAAATCATACT